TTCACATTTTCATTTTTTATGCAAACTTGTCTTTCCTGCAAGCATTATAATAATAATAAATGAAAGTTGTTTCCGATGTGGGAACACTGCCACTCGGGGATTGTGTGCTGACAACCTAATTGATCTATTCTCTCTGCAGCAGAATCCCCTTCTTTATCTCTTGAATCGGCATTTGAAGAGGTCCTTTTACCTACTCTTTCAGACTTACCTGTCTTGAAACCTTACCACCTCTTGATGTTGAACTTCCATGTAAATTATCATGGGCAGCTGCATTTTTCAGCTCGTTTTTTACTCTCCCACCTAATGGATCCCGAGGAATCTTCCTGGCAAGGGAAGAGCATAGTTGGCATGGACCGTCAAAGGATGGCAGAGGGAAATTTATTTCTGGGTGGTAAAGAGCGAGGGTCTAACTGCAAAACATGCCAGGAACAGGGAAGGAAATGTCCTGGCCAAGCTCCTGTGTCCCCCCTGTAGAGTTTGGCAGCCTCTGGGTGGACAGGTTGGTTCAGTTCCGCCTTGGGCTGGACGCAGGAGCTGTGGTGGGAGAGAAATAAAAGGATAAAAGGGTAAAAGCATAGGTGAAGCTCAGCATTGATCCCTCCTCTCATTATCTGGAGCTGTTCAGAGGAGTCTCTGTGCCCCTCCACCTGTGTGCTGTGAGGATGGGCACAAACGACACCTTCCCTCCCTACCGTGAGTTTCCTGAGGCCTTTGGCAAGGTGAGCCTCTTCTTCTCAAGCTGCCAAAGCCCAAGACAGGGGTCACAAGATGGGTGCAAACCCTAGGGAGAGAGACACAAACGAATGATTCATGCAGAGAACTGAAAATGCTGCCCTATTCCTTCCTTTCATACAGTGCTCAGCCCTGTAACCCATATTTTTGGGGTGTATTTTTAATGGAAATTTCCTTCTGTGTTTAGCCCAGGGAAAATCTGAGCAATGACCTGAACTGTGTGGTAGCTCTGGCACTGGGCTGGGGGTTATTTCGGGGGTCTGCACCACAGTGTCCAAGGTCTGAAGACAAAAATTAACAGGATAACAAGTACTGCCATCACAATCTTTTCCCTTTAGGTATGTGCTGTGTGAGGCAACTTCTGAGGTGCAGGCTTTATGCTGCCACATCCAACACTGCATGAAGCAGCAGCGTGAGCTCACTAGTGAAAGTGAACTATAATTTATTAGCCATACTAGGAGCTAATAAACTAGCTTCCCCTGCAGTTCCAGAGGGTTTTGATGCATGATACACAATAAAGCTGCAACCCAAAGGGGTGTAACCACAGAACCAGGCTCTTACCCATGGAAATCCTTGTTTGTTAAAAATTAAATGCTTCAGATTTTTATTTTTTGGTCTAAGACATGAGATAAACGACGAGAAGACTTTCACCCTTGCTCTGACAGAAGTGAATTTTGGATGCTACAAATTGCTTTCCTATGAGTGCTCTTTCTTGCTGCTACTCCTTCCTGTAATTACACTGACTTTGTTTGCCAGATGTTCAGTGACAACATTATACCGCTGTAGTCTGTTTTCCAGTTGCTTTATTTGTTCCAAGGACAACTCCTTTCTTGCCTTTTCTTTCGGGGAGGAAATAGACAAAGGAGGGGGAAAAAATCCTTTACAAATGTTTTAAAGTGCAAAGACCGGGACAATGGTTTTCCCCCCTCTCTCTGTCTAACTGAAACAATGAAAGTCCTGCACTTTAATCTTCTTAGCCCCAGGGGTCTTCTAATTATTGCAGCTGTTGCACAGGCTTATGCATAGTGAGTCCTCCTTCCCATTCATCTCGGAGGCTCTTTCATGTCCATTAGCTCCTCGCTGGAAATGGAGGAGCCTCCAGCTCTGAGAATAGGTGAAGTTTACCTTGTGGATCAGGGCAAGGAGAACAAAGCATTCCCCGAGTTCCTTTCCAGGATTTACAAATGACCAAAGGCTCTTCTTTGCCTCGGCGAAATCCACTTTAAATTGGCTGGGATTTTAACTCTTTAGTTGCGCCTTGTTCGGGTGTCACGCGGGCAGTGGTGCTTCCAACATGATAAAGAAAGGAAGGAATGTGGATGAAATAGCTGGTTGTGGAAAATGCACTCGTATGTTTAAGCAGCAGGAAACTTTAGGAAAAAATACAGCTTTAGAGCGATATTTTGCCATCACCTCTAAGGTAACAAACATTTTGGTGGCCACACTGAGGAATAGAAACTCCTGTGCCCAGTTTGAAGTCCTATACTATCACTTAAACAATTTTGGAAAACATTTATAAAAAAGAAACAATCCAAATTCACACAAAATACATTTTAATTCCGATTAAAACAACAAAATGAATTAACAAATTGCTTCATGTAATTGGACATTTCTGACTCAGCATCAAATATGATTTATTACAGAAATGCCAATGTTATAAAAAAAAATGTTTTAAAATGTTTGTATATGTTAAAACAACAAATAGTAAAGCCAGATGCACAGCTGTGAATATTATTATGGGTTCATAGTTGTGAAACAGGGTAAATATTTTATCTGCTTCTGTTGGGAGCTCTGTAAAAGTTGCCCATTTTTAAATTCTAGATCCAGAGCACCAAGCAGGCCACCTAAAATCCTGTTTTTATTTACTACTGTGCTACTAATATAGCAATCCTCATTTATACCAGCAGGTGTTTTGCTCACAGTTTCAACCACTGCTACTAAACTCCGAATATATTAAAATAAATATTTTTATGCATACCGCATGTTTAAAAAATATAAATCTCCAGATTATATTTTTTGTGATTTTAAGGTTTAAATGCTGATGTTGGCTTACACGCTGTGGGGAGCAGGGTGTCCCCCATCCACACTGAAGCACTCCTTTGGCTCCCAGCACAGGATGAAGATTCCCTTTGGAAGCTGTCCCTGCTCTCTGCTTGTTCTTGAAATCTGCCCAGAAATTGTTTGGAATGGTGTTGTGGGGCCTGAGCCAAATAATTCTGTGAAATAACCTAACAATTTAACACTCTTAATGACTGAATTTCAAGCACCTGGACATTTTAATGCAATGATACAAACACAGCCATAATTTCCTGGGGTGTTTTCTTCACTTGTCACTGTTGCCAAACAACACTTGGATACATTTGAAGCTGAAATTAAACTGTTGCTTGCAAGAAACTGTTTGTGATGGGCTTTGTCAGTTCTGAAAGCGATTTTTGGAGGATGCTGGTGGTCTGCAAGCTTCCAGTTAGTGGCTACAGCTGGTGTGTGACTCCCTATTAAATGATGAAATATGGGGATTCCCAGCCTTTCCTCTTTTATTTCCTGTTTCTCTGCGAGTGGCTTCGATAAAAAATAATGGCATCTGATGGCTGAGTAGTTTTCAGAAAATACTTTCTGTATTAATTCCTTAGTGAATCATGACAAGAAGAAAAATGTGTACTCTCTACTTCTTGGCTACATGCAGATTTTTGATGACTGGCAAGACTTTACTGAATTTGTCTGCATGAGAAAAAGATTTCTAAATAAGTTGGAAAATCTTGCATCAACAATTTGCTTAGTGACCTGTGTTTCTATTTGTTTGTGAACTAGCAGACTTCATCTTTCAACAATGCTCTAACAGCAAAGACTTGTAAAATTAGTTATTGCTACAATATTACCATTTTCCCAAACTGTATTACAGTATGCTGTTTCCTCATCATGAAGTACTCCAGTAAAACCATCAGAGACAAGGAACATTTAATGGTTCAGGGGCTTGTTTTGGTTTGTTTTGTTTCCAGTCTCTGGATGTTTTATGGCCTTGAAACACTTCTAAGGATTTTAGAGTGCAATTAGGTATTGCAAGGGACTTGCCTTTGATGCTAAACTGTAAAAACCAGTGGTAATAGGGGGAAATGATTTTGTAAGGTGGGATGGCTGTTTTCTGCCACTTCAGTGCCCTTTATGGCTTGTTCTAGCTGTTTCAGATTCAGTGGGAATTGTGTGTGCGTAGAAAACAGAATGTGGCTTCTAGACATATCCTGCTTTAAACAAAACCATCTTCACACCAGGCCTCCCTCTCCAAAGGTCTGATGTGCTCCAGAAGCTGTTGAAATTGTCAAGGTCTTTGTCAGAACCAGAAAAATCCCAAATAAAATCATGCTTTGTTTGGTTTGTACCATTTGTGGTATGTGCAGGAACATATGGCTATGGAAAATTGACCAAAATCCATACAGTGATAAATTATATATTTTTAGTGGTCTTTGATGTGGAGAAATGGACACCAGGCCCATCACTGATTAGAAAACACGCTGGAAAAAAACACATTTTGGGGGGTATTTTGTCATTACTGGTAGGAGCCACTAGAGGGAGAACATAATTTCTGCTGTAATATCTCACTTTTTCATTCTACCCACCTGTTTTCAGCATTGTGACAACACCTAGGTGAGGTTACAGAGTGGTGATGACTGCAGAAAGAACCCAAAATGTGCCACTGATGGGGTTTTTTTAGGGTCGCAGAGTGGTGATCACTGCAGAAACAGCCCAAATTGTGCCACTGATGGGGTTTTTTGGGTTACAGAGTGGTGATGGCTGCAGAAAGAACCCAAAATGTGCCACTGACAGGATTTTCTTAGTTACAGAGTGGTGATGGCTGCAGAAACAGCCCAAATTGTGCCACTGATGGGTTTTTTGGGTTACAGAGTGGTGATGGCTGCAGAAAGAACCCAAAACGTGCCACTGATGGGTTTTTTTTAGGGTTGCAGAGTGGTGATCACTGCAGAAACAGCCCAAATTGTGCCACTGACGGGTTCTTTTGGGTTACAGATTGGTGATGGCTGGAGAAAGAACCCAAAACGTGCCACTGATGGGTTTTTTTTAGGGTTGCAGAGTGGTGATCACTGCAGAAACAGCCCAAATTGTGCCACTGATGGGGTTTTTTGGGTTACAGAGTAGTGATGGCTGCAGAAAGAACCCAAAACGTGCCACTGATGGGGTTTTTTTGGGTTACAGAGTAGTGATGGCTGCAGAAAGAACCCAAAACGTGCCACTGATGGGGTTTTTTTGCCTTCCAGGTGTTGTGTTTCACTACCGGGCTGCCACGAGCAGGTACACCCTGAATTTCACACAGGCCCACCAGACCTGCCGGGACAACGGCGCCGTCATGGCCAGCCCAGAGCAGCTGAAAGCAGCCTACGAGGATGGGTTTGAGCAGTGTGATGCTGGCTGGGTGTCTGACCAGACTGTCAGGTGAGGCTTTCAAAATTCCCCATCACGTTTTTACCCAAAATTTGTGTGCCTGGCCTGTGCAGACCTAAACCATTGTTTTGTTGTAATTGATGCCTTGGAGTGGCTGCCTGGAACAGAGGCTGGACAAGATTGAGAGAATAAAGTGGGTATTTATTAAAGGCCTTCAAAATGTGCATTTTGGACAGGCAAAAGCCTCCCAGAAGCTACACCCAAGATGGACAATGGTTCACAAATTTTTCACACAATTATAAGTTTGGTTCATTTGCATATCAGGGATTAATTCTCCAATTCCAGCTCCAGGTAATCAAGTAATTTACCAAAACTTGCTCCCCCCAATTCACTTTTGTTTATACTTTTGGGGCCTGATGCTCTAGGGTGTCCTTGAGTTTCAGGCCCAGAGGAATTGTTTTGTCTGTCCAAAATGTGAATACTGCAACTAATACTATGTATGGAATTTAGAGTTATACCCTAAAGCAATTCAGGATTTGAAAAACAGAAAAGCTGAAATCCTAAGGCGTCATAATAATAAATCTTCTGCATTTCCAGGTATCCAATTAGACATCCAAGAGTTGGCTGCTTTGGAGATAAGATGGGAAAGAAAGGAGTTAGGACGTATGGGCGCCGCTTCCCTAACGAGACTTACGATGTTTATTGCTACGTGGAGCACATGGAAGGTGAGATGGGTCTGTACAGCCTGGAAGTGCACTGCAAGGCTTAAAAAGTGGCTGGGGAGCCTCACGTGGAAGAGCAGAGAGAGAGAAAATTCCATTTAAAATAGGTTTTGGCTGCTCTGGATCTGAAGGGAATTGCCAAATGGATGGAACCTACAGTTTGTGGTCTTGCAGGTCCTAATTAAAGGCCAGTGTGGAGTCTACAAAGAGGCAGTCAGGGTTCAGGCTGCCTATAGTTAGTGCAGTAGATCTCACAAAAGTTGCTGTTGAAATGTCTTATTTTTTGAATGTTGCATAGCAGTATTTTCGAAGAAATGCATTTAATGTTTGAGAAACTATGTATGCTATATATAAGTCTATACAAAGATAGATGTAGTATATGTGCTAACTGTATTATAGTTCATAAAGTATGTAATTATGTCTTTTTATATGTCCGTGGCATAGAATTAGACAGATATTGAATTGCCATCTATGTTTAATAGTATCTTTTTAATAATGGGTCATCTCAGATTCAGAAGAAACAAACTTCATAGTTTCTGGGCATAGTTTAGTAAAATTATTACACAGATACTTTGCAACCAGGACTCAAGTACATTCTCCACTTACTACAGTGCCCTGAGTGTGTCACACTGCTTTTGTTTGACAGGTTTTTATTGCATGCCAGTTCCACAGTTCCTTTCTAAAAAAACCCTGATAATTCATAACTAAACATCCTCAGGGATAGTCCTTGGCTGTTATACATTTAAATTAGTGCTCTTTAAGTCAGCAGAACAATAAATTAGCCTTGTCTCTGAGCAAGCCTGCCTTTGTAAATGTACATATACTTTTAAAAAGCAATTGCAAAATGCAGGTGGTCAGTGTTTGTTTGTAATCTGTCTTAATATAGATTAGGTCATGCAAATTTTTCTTAGAGAGATTTTAGTTACTGAAATAAGTGTTTTATTTTTAGTAGCTGAAGATATGTCCTAGACAACTTGGAGATTTATGCAATACAAGAAATACAGGTATTGCAAAGCCTCTAGAAAACATATATGCTTGAGAATTTGTAACTTGAACTTGAAAATTAAGTGACAGAATTTTGTTGGTGCTTTTCATTGTTTCATTTTAGTTATGTCCCGTTTACATCTGTCAGTGAGCAGCACCTGTGAACATCTACAATTCATGACATTTGATCCTCCATCAGTCCTTGATGGGATTGGATTTTGAATCTCCTCTAAATCAATGTTTTTAAATTCAGTTTGTGTTTTTCCTAGCTTGCAAAAAGAAGGTTTAGTCAAAAACACAATCTGTATAATTCTTGGGTAAAGAACAACCTCTTGCTCTTTTCCCTTTACAAGAACAGAGAAGTGTAACTAATACAGAGCAGATTGTCCTGGCTGCATGTGAGCCAGCAGTTTCTCAGGGTCAAAATTTATCACTAAACTTTCAAAAATACAACTTAAGTCAAAACTGAAGCATTTTTCACTGAGGCTGATGGTCTCTGCTTGGAACAACCTGGACCTGTTGTGTGGTTCAAAGAGGCTGCAGTGACTGTGGAGTCCTCATGGATGAAAATGAACAGGTCCTCAATTTCTCATGGACATTAATTGGTCCTTCTTTATTATAAAATGCCATTTGCCAAGGTTTATGACTGGTTTCCTTCTTGGGATGCATCTACACTTCTGTCCCACTGTTGTGGCCTGTCACCTGGATTGTGGTGACATGGTCATGTGAAACATCCAGATTTTAACAAATATATAAGCTAGAGCACAATACTGGAGAGATTTGGTTCATTATATTGAACAAGTTTAGTGTCAGATTATTATAATAGTTAGCCAATGACACTCTCCAACTTTTCTCTTTTGTTGTTATTGGGGTTTTTTTTGTTTTTGTTTGTTTGTTTGGTTGGTTTGGGTTCCTTATGTTTGTTTTGTTTGTTTTATTTTGGTTTGGATATTTCTTAGCTGGTTTTCTTGTTTGTTGGTCTTTGTGTGTATGTGAGAGAGTTTTTATTATTTTTCTCATTCTCTCAAAAGTTTTAAAACGATCATGAGTGTGACAACAACTTCTATGACCTCCAGGAGGAGTTTATGGTTACAGGGCGTAGAAACAGTGTAGGTAGGCTCTGCTGACATGCAAAGGAGTTAAATTGCTCTGTTTGGATGAGGAGAAACAGGCACGTGCTAGAAAGACAAGGTGCCACATTGTGCAGGATAAACCATTCCTCAGTGCCTTCACAGCAACTTGAGCCTCCGAGCCAGACTCCCTTTTCCAGGAGGAGCCAAGGCAGCTTTTTCTGTGTAACAGGAGCAGTTTCTGTTAGGACAGAGGTTAATTTTGAGTGAGGAGGAGCTTCTTAGATGATACACAGCATCTATGAGTTTATACTTCAGAAAAACTCACCCAAACAGAGATGGAAATTTAGAATGTCAGTGGAGGTATTGGAAGGTTGAAGTAAACTAGATTGCTGTGTTGGTAGGAAACTTAACAGATCCAGAGCTAAAATTCTACCCTGATGGCCCTATTCTCCAAAGGTTGATCCTGCAAGGTGTGGCCTTTAGCTCATGACTTAATTCATAGCAAAATGAATCCATGGCACTTAGGGTGTGCTTAAATACAAACTTTTTCCATGTGAATTTTAAAGCTCATATCTGCTGTGTACCCTGCCCTGATTCAATGCCAAATCTATTAGTCTTGCTGGCACTAGAGAGGTCCTTATTTGGAGGGTCTGTGTCAGTGGAATGACTATTCATGGCACAAGCTTGACTAATGATATCAAAATTTGAGCTATAATGAGGATGTCACCATGGAAGTCATTGAACACTTATTGGTCTGTTGGCTGCTGTTGGTGTGTTACCCCAGAAGGCCATAAATGGTGGTGGGAATTCTTGCAATACATGTTAAAATAAATGTGCATTGAATTTGCAGTACTAATTTGGGTATTTGCACTGAGGATTTGTAGGAGCAACTCCATCTCGATTTTATTCCTTTTTGGCCATGTGGAATCAGGAAGTTAGCCAGAGACGTGGATTTCTCCTTAAATCACCAACTATTAGCTTAAATTGAAACCAGTTATCTAGGCTAACTCTTGCCATTTCCTTGTTCTGAGGAAAGCCAGAGTGATTAAAGACTGCACAATTCTAATTTAAATAGTATGAGTTTTGCTGCGACAGTCAGAAGAAAAACTGTGGGAAGGATTGAAAGTTTCTGAGCTCCTGGAGTTAAAAATGAGAACCTGGAGTCAAAGTATCATTAAAAAGGTACTAGGCAGGATGTTTTATTACAAACTGTTTCACATTCCTCATATTTCATCATTTATTTCAGTGTACCAAGCACTAACAGAAACATATAGGGTACTTTTAACTGCATGAAATTATTGATGGTTGAAGATTTAAAAGTGATTGAGCTGCAAAGGTTTGGGTGAGGATCCCACCAGTTGAACGGGTGTCTCCTTGGAGGGAGATGGGTGATGGGTGAGGAAGAGTTTGAATTCTTCAGACAAGCAGTGTGTGGTTAATTTGGCAGCGCTGTGGTGTCAGAGATGGAGATAGAACCACCACCAAAGCCCAGTGGTGGAGTGAGTTTGTGCTGAGCCAAAGCACAAACCACCCCACCAGGATTGTCTCCTGGCCAGAACCCATCAGAGCCCATGTATGCTTGACAAGCCCCCATCATGTGGAGATGGGGCCCTCACACTAACAGAGTTATTTTTGGGGTGTCTGTGGGGAAGATTCTACAGCCCTCCTTCCATGTACCACCTCCCCCCACAGTGAGCGCAGGGAAGAAGGATAAAAACCAAAACCAGATGTCCTTTGAATACTTTCCACCTACTCTCATACAGTTTTGCTGTTGTCATGGAAATTTCTGTGAGAATGATAGTCATAATTAAAGGAGTCTTAGTCTAAAATGTGGCCTCAGGTGAGAAGTTTCTTCTGTGTTTTGGGCAGCTAAAGGTCTTCTCTGGGGTCTATTCTGATTCTGGAGCAACAAATAGATTAGGTTTCAAAACTGGAACACAGAGGAAATCATGTTTTTTTCTCTAGTTCAAGGCCTGTGGTAGAATTATGATACTTTCCATTATACTGGACACTTATCCAGCCTTGGGTTGTGTGACATCATGCAGGATTAAGTTCTCAAGAGGATTCCTGTTCAGCCAACAGGTCTGCACAGAATAGGCTCAAGACATTCAGGAAAGTTTAGTTAAATTATTGCTGCTGTGCATCAAAAGAAATCAACTGACTTGTTCTGACGTGCAAGAGAAAAAGACTTCTTCATCTTGTCCAGACTCCTGCCTTGAAGTTGAACCAAGCTGCTGATGTTTGTGTTTTTCCAGCCCTGCAGAGTGGTTTTGGTAATTAGTGACATTGTTAAGGACATGTCTTTATTACCCTTGTGTGTCAGAGAACCAGCCCTGAACAGCAGAGAAAGAGAGGAGGGGGATAAGGAAGTTCTTGTTCCTGAAGGCACGAGGGTAAATGTTTTAGTCCTCAAAGTGGTCATGGCATCCCTGCTCCTTTGACCATGTCCTAGGAATGAAGTTTTGAACAGATTCCGTGGTTTTGAGGTAAAGAAAGTTGTGACGGCAATGCTTCATCACTGCCTGGGTTTTACCTGCTGGCTGTGTCCAGGTGAGGGACAGCAACCACAGGTTACAAGTGCAGGTGAGAAAATGCCCTTAGAATGCTCTGTATAACCTCAGAGAAGATGGCATTTTGTTACTCTTAGCCAGGTTTTGTCTCTGACCCAGGGGTACTCTGATCTGCAGCTGTAGTCACAGAATCCAGGTGCTCTGACACTCCCAGAGGACATCTCTGTTCGATAAACTTGGTGGGTTCCAACTCTCAGAAAAAAAAATCTGGAGTCCACCACAGATACATTATGCAAAAAAAAAAAAAAAAAAAACCAAGGCGCTCCCAGATTCTTAGTTGGAAATAGTGTTTCTTCTCCTCAAACAAAACTGTCACAGAGGAACTAAAATGGAAAGGCACTGGAAAGGTTTTGTCTTGGCTTTTTTTGGTTTTGTTTTGTTTAATTGTGAGAGTTAAGCATTTCCTCCTAAGGGAGTGATTAACTTTTCATATAATTAATATCCCTCTGCATTTTCTAATGCCTGGCTTTGGATGACTGTGAAGGTTGTAGAATCTGAGCACCTGACCATGAGGTAAAGCTCATGAGCATCAAATTCCAGATGAGACAGTAATAATCACAGAATCATTAAGGCTGGGTAAGAAGAATTTTGAGATCATTAAGTCCAAACATCAACCCAGCACCACTACCCCAGTCAACAGAGAGTGTGTGAGACTTTGGTTCTAGCCTGCCCTTTTTCCCACCTTGCTTTTAAGTTGTGTGATTCATGACATTCACGTCTACCAGTGTGCCCAGCTCTCCCAGACATCTCCTGAGGAAAGTGAATCAAAGCAATGAAACTTGCTATAAAATCAGCTGATCAGATTTGTAGAATTGATTATTGTAGAATTTTTCCTCAGGGATTGCAGGTGAATCAGCTTTTGCCTTCAAGAGAAAAAATCTGACTTCTTCATCTGCCCCTATATTTTGTAAGGAGATGGAAAAAGCCTGACTTTCATCAGGTCTCTCTTTTGACCAAGCAAAACAAACACATGTAAGAAGAAAATCCTGGTGATTCTTGGAGTGCAGTGACCACTGAGGCTCCTCCATCAGCCTGAAGCTTGGTTTGGAACAGAAGCCTGCAATAACACACATTACATTATTGTCTGCAGCCTAAACACTGTCACATTCTGCATCCCACCCCCTGGTTCTGCAGAACCAGTTTTTCTTCATCTGCTGGCCTCAGTCCTGGGCTTTGCCTGCAGAGTATTGCTGGGTTACTCAGGGCGTGCTCCAGCTATAAAAACAATGCACGTGGCTGAATTGAATTTGTCCTGCCTGGTGTTGGGGGCTATGTAATTTGTCAAGCAGATGAGTTTTCCCATCTTAATTTCCTTGTTTTCAGGGTTTTGCCTGGGAAATTGAGGGGCTTCCAGTCATCTTAATAAAAACACAGTAAGAGTGTGGTGGAGTCTGTCCTCCTGTTAAATATGGAAGCTGTTGTGCTTTCAAAAACAGCAGTAAATTGTAGAGACCGCATGTATTAAATATATTTCATTAAATACAATTTCATTAACTTCAGAATTACTTTTCTTGCTTTTTAGAAGTTTCTGTGCAAGACGGAGTCCTTTTCTCTTTAGCACTTTGAAGGAGTTGTGTTGTTTCAGCCATATGCTAGAAGTGAATGAGATCAAGAAGCTCCAGGAAAACCTTCATAGTTTAATTTATTTTTTTTTTTTTTGTAAGGTGGTTTGAGAAGCTTGCAGAAGCAGAACATACTTTAAAATGTTTCTGGATCCATGTATCTTAAACACTTCTTTTGTTTTTCACATTTCATCCCAACAATTATTAAGCCCATTAAGTATACATTTAATCACAGAGAATGTTAATCTATTTTCAAACTGGAGAGACAAATGGAGGAGTCATAGCTCCTAGAGTAAATTGCTATTTGCAATATGACTTTTGCCCAATTTTTTAAAAATTAGATTTGTGGAATCATAGAAAAATGCTCTCTAACTAGAGCAATTACAAGATGACATGTTTTAATATCTTTGCCCTTTATCTTATCACTAACATTCCTGAAATAAATGCACATTTATTTGGTATATTATGGAATTTTGCTCATTGCCCTGCTGCCTTTTTGACTTCTTTGTGACGTTATTGTCACAAATTCTTGAATATACCAGTTAGGTGTCAAATACTTTAGAATTCACTTAATGGATTGTTTTGGTGTGTTTTTCCTTAAATATATGTGGGTTTTCTTTTTACTTTTTTTTTTTTTTAATTGGTTTGGTTTGATTTTTTGGTATAACAATTCTTGACAAAGATCTTGTCTGTTTGACAGCAGCTGAGTTTAACAGATGAACAAAATTATCCCATGTGGGGTCAGTAGAATATATTCAGTGCAGAGAAAGGTATGACACTCATCTTTTGAGTGTGCAGGATTATCACTGTTGCAGACACAGACCTATTCCAAGGCAAATTTGAGGCAAACTTCTGCCCAGAAAGTGCAGCTTGGGTAAGTCAGTTCTCTGAAAAGCGACCTCTCTTAAAGAAGAACGCTGCATTTTGAAATCTTACACCAAGGCTTAACCCCTCACTAAGTATCTCTGGCTTAACTAAGTGCAGATGACAGCTCAGAGGAATAAATAGCACTAACCTTAATGATGTGGTGTACAAGCTCCATTTGGAGCCAGTGATCCCAATCACTTGATGGAGAAATTGCTTTTCTAGTAATCTTGCACTGTTTGTCCATTTTCCTGTGTATTCTATGAGTTTCCTTCATAAGAAATATGGTGGGATTGTCTGCAATTAGCTTTTGAAAATTCATTGTTCTTCTTCACTTTTCTCACCTCCTCATTTAACTGGACTGATATCTGCTGTATAATTGCAATTAAATTGCATTTTAACTACTGGTTTTCATATACATCATGGCTGCTGTCAGCAGATCAGTGAACAATCCTCTGGAGAGGCCTTTCTTTGCACCCCTGTTCCATGGTGCTGCTTTTGGGACAGGATTGTGGGATTACTGCACCCATCACTCTGTACAGGACACGGCAGCAGAGCTGGTGGGCAGATGCAAAAGGATGTAACAAAAAATGCTCATTTTCTGCGTGGTCTGAAGAGCTGAATGAGCCATTCTGAGGACAAATGGCTCTTTGCTTCCCTTATCTGTCCCTCTCCAATAGACACGCTCTGTCTCTCTTCCTCCAAGCTGGGAGCTGCACACAATGTGCATAAAGCAAGTTACACTATGGGATTGGCTCTACAGCTGTAATAACAAATCAGAGCCTCTACCTAGGAGGAAAAAGCAAGCTGGCACCTTGCCTCCTTTCACACTTGCATTCCTTTCAGGCCCCAAACAAGCGTAATATTGATGTGAATGAAACTGCTCGGGGTGATGTAGTTTCTGTCTGCATTTTTCTGTGTTCCCTTCAGACCTGTGCAGGGGTAAGACAGATTGCATGGCTAGAGTGGAAAAGCAGTGTTTTCCTGCAACAGTGGCTGTTCTGTCCTGGCCTGCTGTGGCTGTCTTGCTATGAATATTTTGAATTTGTGCTGCTGGTCGGAACACCAGCATGTCATTTTAGGTCTGGCTGGTTTCATCTAAAGTCTAAGCAAAAACTGGGAAAGGGTCAGTTTACTGCTTCATTCCCAGGACATGAACATGAGAGGTTTGACTTTTCTTTAGGGTGTTTTTGTGAATAAGTCAACCAAGACAACTGCACAATGGTGATTTACCTTGGAAGCAACATATTAGACATGCTATTTGCTTTATTTTAGTGTCCAACTGGATGGCTATTGCTTACAAACTGTTATTCCTTGGAAGCTATCAACATTCTAGACTAATTCAACTTCTCTGCACAAAGAGGGCTTTGTGCATGCAACATGTATTGTTAATTTCCTCACCTTTGTTTCCAAATGGGACAAGAGGAAGACTGATGGAAATCCAACATTAGAAGCTGCTCTAGAGCAGCCAGTGAAGAATATTTCCTGGTTTTTGAGTGTTTGAAGAGAGATTCTAGCAATGCCTACAAGGGCCAGGTAGGGGGCTTGCAGAAGTAGAAGATTTGATTTATGGAAACAGTAAATTCTGGTGGACTGGATTTAATTAACTCAGTTGAGCTGCAAACTCTAACAGGGGTCACAGAGGAGCCTCAGGGCTGCTGTTACCTCTGCTAGAGACCAAGGAAGGGACTCAGTGTCCAGCCGCAGTGTACTTGATGGCAGAAGGTTTGCTTATAAATGCTCATGCTTTGTGGCAGTTTAACCTTCAAATTCAGGCCTGGAACATTTGGTTTACAGTTCTCTTTAAGGAAAAAAATACTCTTGTTTTGGGAAAATATCCCCAACCTTGCAGGACTCTGGAACTGATTGATATGGTGGAACGCGCTACTCAGCCTTTGTAACTTTTTATTTTTGTTTCTTCCTGCAGATGAAGTGGTCCACGTCTCAGCCCCGCAGAAGTTCACCTTTGAGGAAGCTAGGGAGCTGTGTGAGGAGCGAGGCGGGGTCCTGGCTTCCGTGGGGAACCTCTACGTGGCCTGGAGGAACGGCTTTGACCAGTGTGACTACGGGTGGCTGGCGGACGGCAGCGTCCGGTACCCGGCCTCCGTGGCGCGGCCCCAGTGCGGCGGGGGTTTACTTGGGGTGAGAACCCTGTACCGCTATGAGAACCAAACAGGCTTCCCTTACCCCGATAGCAAGTTTGATGCCTACTGCTATGAACGTAAGCATTTGTTATTTTTCTTTTCTCGGTGGTGGTTTGCAGCATGCATGCCATGGGAAGCGGTTCCTTTATCGCGTGTTTTGTTTCAGTTCTTCCGGCGCGCGTGGGTTTTTAGAAACTAAAACGTTGTTGTCTTACATTGTCAATGCCTTAAAGCAACATTGGCAGATGAAGACAGGCAGAGTTTTAAGGTAAGATTTCAGCCTGAGCAGTGTTTTGACCATGAATCTGTGGGTGCTCCAGATTTTGGTGCCTGAGCACACCTTGGTGTCTTTGCATCTTGTCAGTGGACTCCAGACAGACATTCAAAGCCCACCTGGGCATGTCACCCCCTCCAGGTGACTCTGCCTCGGCAGGGGGCTGGACTAGGTGATCTCTGGAGGTCCTTTCCATTCACATCTATTCTATTCTTCCGTGATAAATGTCCTGAAGGTGAACAGTGGATATTCTGTGTCCGATGATGGCAGCAAGAGAAGCTGGTCACAGGCTGTGTACAAGGCTGACCACTTTCAGGTCTCTCAGATGCCAGTAATTTGGGGAGCTATCTCTGGATCCCAGGCATGTTGTCCCATAACTTTCTTTTTCTTTCTTGCTCAGTGTTTCATGGGCCAGTGGTTGGTCTAAATTGCTGCTTGTTTCCCTCGTGGTATTTTCACAGGCACTTCAAGTGTTTGCCACAATCACATGGCAGACTTCACCAGTCTAAACCAGATGTCTTCCACACCTGTCAGCTTTCTTTTGGGGTGCAATATTGCCCTGTAAGCTCATCTATCTTCAGTGCCAGCTGGCTGGCTCTGCTATTATGGTGCAGTCTCTCCTTGAATAGTTTCCTGTTGTCCCAAAAGGTTCACCAGCTTTCCAGCTGAATATCCTGCTTTCCTGAGACTTTCAGCCTCAGCACAGAGGGGGTTGGACAGCTCAGCTATTTCCCTGCAGGCCTCTCTGTCAAAGGAAGTTCCTTCTTGCAAATAGCATGACTGACATTTAACATTGTGTTGAGTTAAAAGTTCAGAACTTGGTCATTAACTATGAATATTTAGGTGTTTTTGGACTCGGTCCAGTGACTGTAACTCGGAAGTACTTGAAATGTGCAGTTTGTACTGTCCCAATTTTTGTGGATGATGAACTTACAGCAGCTGCAGATCTTTCAAGCTCAGGCACTGAAGAACCCATTTATAAGCAAGTCTGGCTCTTTGAGAACAAATCCCAACATCTGCTGCAACATTATGATCTGGCTGTTCTCAGACACTGTTGATTTGTTGTTTTAATTTTCCTTTATAGTTTGTGGGTATGATGTTCCAAAACTTTGCATGTGGAAATAGTCCTAATGGAACTGGTTACAGGAAAAAGGACTTAAGTTCAGGAGTCTGTGCTCTAATCTGCAGAGAAGCATTTTGTCATATCACTCCTTCTGTTCCTACTCCAAATTGTTTATGACCTGTTTAAAGTGTTGTGGATAAAAAAGACTTTAATGAGGGTGTATTTCATAAGTCCCTCTAAAAGACTAGGGTAAGAACTGAACATTTTGCCTGTAATCTAGTCTTTAGTTAGGACAAATTCCAACCTGCTGTTTGTTTTTGTGAATTTCGCTGCTTTCAAGCAAGATGTGCCTTTACAGTGTTCTTTCCAGAAGTTTTAGTTAGCACGGTTTGTGGTAACATACCATTTGTTCTAAAAGTAACCTTGATTGGTATTGGGTTGTTGCCTTTTATATAAAGGCTTTTCCTGCAAAGTCTTGCCCTTGGTATATAAAGAATAAATATTTCATCACTTTGCAGCCCAGGAATAGACATTTCAGGACTATCAAACTTTTTACAAGAGAAAATAAGACTAAACAGAGCCAAAACAATTTGTTAGAGGCTAAATGGCTCTCCAGCACTTTTAATTACAAAAAGAGACTATCAGAATTAATCAAACACTGCTGGCTAGAGGACTCAGGTTTTGCCAGATGCATCTGCCTTTGTGCAGGGAAATGCAGGGGTGTCATGCTGTACCCTCCTTCAGGGTGCCACAACTTTCAGAAGTTACTGAAAGCACTCTCTCCCTCTCAGAAGGTGATTGGGAACTCACAGGAACCAGCTGTGGCTCCTCACTGCTTTTGCTAAAAGATTTATGCAAGTGGTGAGTAATGAGACTCCCTGCCCAGCATCTTGGTCCTCCACATCTCAAGCAGCTGCCTGGTGCAGTGGCTTTAGTGAGTCACTCTCTCCCACTGGGGCCTTGGAGCCAGTCCCTTCTTTGGGGCAGAAAAAGGGAGAGGATAAAAAAAAAAAAAACAGGCTCTGCATGAGAGCAGAAGGCTTGAATTTAAGCCCTTTGTTTCAAATCATCCTTTGTCTGGAAGTTCCTTCCGAAATTTCCCATTATCTCAGTTTCAAAGTTTCAGTCCACCACAAAATCTCTTGTCACCCAGCTCTGCCTGTTTTGGGGCTGGCATTAAGTTCTCACAGTGATTCCCACAGCGCCTGACAACAAAACTGCCCTGCCCAGGACCTGGGCTCTCAGTGTAACCCCTGCTCACAGCTCTCCCTGTGTGTCACACCTCGTGGGTGTGTCTCCCTCCTCACCTGCACCTGCAGTCACACGCAGCACCGCTGTCCTTGTTCAAGCTGTTTCAGTCTTCACAAAGACAAATTGTGCATTTGAGAAAGGAGAAATCTCCTTCCTCATCCCTGCTCAGGCTCCTCGCTCCTGTTTCACGATCATGAGTCTCTCTGCTGGAAAATCTCAAAATGTTAATTTTAGTTTGTGGCTTTGAAAGACCTCAATCTGTATTTTGAGCATTTTGCTTGCTTTTAAAGAGGAGTCATATTTATTGAAATGCATGAAAAACACAGGGAGTAAATTCAATTTAAAAATTATATTCACTAGTTTCAGTGGAGCAGCCAACCTGGACAACTTTTAAAGTACAGTTAAGTTCAGGATTTTAACTTCAGCAGTGTTATGGGTACAAAATTACATTGTGTGAAGTGTCTTGACTTTATGAAAATAAGAGTGGCCCAGACTAATAATACATGATTTAAAATCAAAAAGCCTTGTTAAAAACCCCTGAAACTTTCTCCCCTTTGATCACAAGTGCTTTTCACTCTTCAAAAACCACATGGGTCTAAGTTTCTGAAACATTATCTATGTGCTTCATTTCATACCTCCAAGGTTTTTGCCAGACCTTTTCTTTCTTTTTTTTTTCTTTCTTTTTTTTTTTTTCCTGTGAGAGATACCTAATCATGTATCTAATTGGGCCTGTAAAGGTTTCAGTTTAGACACATGATTAAGTACTTTCAGCTCCTTGGAGGCCATCATCAGAAAGAAAGTTTTTCAAGTGTTAACATATAGGACTTATATTAACATGTTTAAACTAAAAAAAAAAATAAAAATAGAACAGCTGTTTCTGTGCTCTTATGCTAATTTGTAAGAGATTAAAACATTTCATAATTAATAAAATGATTAATATAATTTCAATAATTTAAAATGTATATTTTTAATAGATACACATTTAATAATTAGTTATTTCAGAGCGCTAGAGGGCATTTACTTAACCTTGAGCTTCAGCCTCCCAGTCTCTCCAGGCCTAATTCACTGGACTTTGTAGAAATCTTGTCACAGACAGCATTTGACTTTTGATGGACCTTTTTATACCACAGCACCTGTAGAACAAATTGTACTACAAAAATGCACTAATCAAATTGCATTCAGGTTTTTAGTATACATACCTGCAGCAAAACTGAACTTGATGAGCTCTGTACACGGAGGTGGTTGAATTTTTTGAAACACAAATCCCCTTTTTTCTGAGAAGCATTGATTTATTAAAGCTGAATTCTTTCATAGACCTGTATTGGTTTTGGCAAATCTTTCAGCAAAACATTTTTACTTTGACTCAAAACACGTGTTGACCGTTTAGCTCTGGATTTGCCCATTCTCTTTCCCATTTTCCTCTCTCATTTTGACTTTGTTTCATGCACCTTTATTGCTTCTCTTTTGTTTTACCACTTTGGTTTGGCATCGTGGCTTAATTTTAGCTGGAGATTGGAAAATTCCAGTTCTAGGATGGTGTTGCCATGTGTGTTTTTCAGGAATGGAGTCCATTTGATTGTTTCAATACAGCCTTGTCTAGAGCAGATCCAAGTCTGCCACTGCTTGGGGCTGAGGGCCTCTTGCTTTGATGCTTCATCCATCTAAAGCTCAAAATCACAAGCGCTACTTGGTAGGAGAAATATAGGAAATTATGACCTCTACAGAGCTTTGAGGCCTCTTACAGCATGAGCCACCACGATGGCAGGCTCAGCCTCAGGAAGCATCCACAGTGCTCCTCTTGTCCAGCAGGATTAAGACTGCTAGCACAGCTCAAAAGCTGGCAGGAAAAACTGTCGTCTTCCCCTTCTGCTGCATGTGACTTAGCTTGGAAAACCTTGAATAGCTGGGCAGCTCTGTCCTTCTCCACAGCAACCGTCAGTAGCTGCGTGTCCCAGCTATTTCCTGGATGAGGGAATAATTTCCAGCCTGATGTCAGGGGCTGTGTTACGGCAGATCTGTGGACTTCTGATCACTTTGGGAACAGACGCAGAATAATGAACACTTAGGGCGTGGTGATGCAAGAGGAGCAAAATGGCCAGCCTGAAGGAAAAAAAAGAAATTTATCTCCAAAAAAGCACAGTGCTGGGCATAATAAATGCAGTGTGCTCCAACATTTCAGAGTCCAGTATCAGAATGGGGAAATACCTCTGGGCAGGAGAGGATCCCAAAGTCAAGGCACTGACCACAGGGTGTGCAGGGCTGTTGGCTCTTCTCAGGCCGCTTCTCTGTGAAGGTGAAGCTGTGCAAAGAGATCACCCCCAGACAACCATTCTCCATACTTTTATTATTTTCCTAGGAAAGTAGATTTATGTTCTGCTCTCCAATATGCCATTTATTAAGTCCCCCACAGCTGCAGAGATCCCTGGTAATTTCTTGGCCCAGGTGTGGCTGTAATAAATCCCTGTCTTTCTCTGCTGGGCTCATGGTGA